GCAGCAGCAGCAGTGGTAGCAGCAGTAGTAGTAGCAGTTGTAGTGGTGCTACAACGGCTACAATTATCGCTGTTATTGTCGGTATGATCATCCTTACTATTGTTTTCATAACCCGTACTTAGCATTATAACTGCCAGCGGCGATAGCCAGGGTCGCAGTGAACGAGCCCCATGCCGAAAGCCCCACAGCCTCCCAAGCAATATTGGCCTCAAGCATTGTAGGAGTTTCCGAAAATTAGGGGTACCTTAGTTTGGGGTCCTTATAATAAGGGTCCTACTATTTAGGGTACTAAAATGGGGTACTCCCGTTGGGGCCTCAAGCATTGTAACAGTACTCCTCAGAATTTTGCAATCTCCTCCTAAGTAATATGGGCCTCAAGCACTGTAACAGTGTTCCTCAGAATATAGCTACACTCTACTAGTAATACCCCAAAGCTTTATTCTAATTACAGCGGCCCCCAGGCCTTCAAAAAAAGCTCTATATACCCTTTGACGGAAACTCATCCTACCGACTACGGTTTAAGGTTTAGGGCTCGGGGCCTGCAACACCCTTTCCGAAAAGCCTACACCCAAACCCCTCATACACCCCAAACCCTGGAAGCTCTACTTGCCTCAGGGGGTTGCGCGTCCTGACGGGTGCCGTGGCCGCAAGCTTCTTAAACTTCTCTTTACAGTGCAAGAAGCTCGAAGATGTACTGCGAGTATTCCTGAGGGCTCCTGTTTAAAGATGCCGTATAATAAGTCCAAATAAGCCTTCTTCCATTTACTGAGGTTCGCAAAATGGGGCTTGGGTTTGGGCTCCTGGGACCTAGACCTAGCTAGGGTTTAGGGCCTTGGGGTGGGGTTTTCAGATGCGCGTGTATGACAAGTGTTTTCGGGACGCTTGACATCGTCGTCTGTATGAAGAACGTGCGGAAGTTTCTGGTGAGCAATATGACCATCAGTGATCATTGGTCCCTAAACCCTAAACCCTAAACCTTGTGCGAACAGCATGGTAGCTGGTGTAGGACCAGTGCAGGGATTCCGTCCCGCAACCTCTAGAGGGGAGTTTCCGAAAACAGGGGACCCTATTTTAGTACCCGAAATAGTAGGGTCCTTGTTATAAGGACCCCCAAAATACGGGGCTCTTGAGCCAAATGCAAAACACCGTCTCAGGAAGCTGGGCTCAGGGACACGAGGATTAAAAACTCTTGGAGTTCAATGTACGGGCCTTAATAGGTACCTATGCTATTTTGGGTGCTCCTTATTAGGAGTATATAGTATAATATACCATTAAGGCCCATATATTAGGGTCTCCATGGGCCCAAGTAGCCTACCTTTTTAACGGACTTATACAAGGAAATCATGACCGGGAGCCCTAGAAAGGAAGGCGTTATAGGGTCCAGGTAGAGTTTAGTGCGTAGGGGACACCAACGCCCACAGAAATCCGAAATCTGTGCCGCTGGTTCAAGCACCTCGCAGTCGCGAGGTACCTTCATCTCGTCAGTCTGGCTTCCTAAACCCTAAACCCCCTTAACCCCCTAAACCCCCTAAACCCCCTAAACCCCCTAAACCCCCTAAACCCTAAATCGTGATGGAAAGATTTGGATGAAGCTGAAATGCTAGAGCCCCAAAGCTTGAAGCCCAGGGTTTGGGAAGAAGCCCACGGCCCCGAAGCCCAAAAAAAAGCCAACGCGAGACACTTAAGTCCCTAAACCCCCCTAAAACCTCAAGCCCCAAACCTTTGTGAACCCCTGAAAAACTCTAGAATTCCTGAACCCCTGAAGTCTAAAACCCCTGAAGCCCTAACCCCTAAACCCTATTGCAGATCTCTTTAAGGAACCCTTATAGATCCATTGGGAGGAACCCTAAACCACTACAGTCCCAACCCCTCCCCTCCGCTCCCCTCCGGCCACGGCATCCTTCGGCCTGCGATGGCCAAAAGAGAGGAGGCCGCCGGGGCCCATGGGTTTGCTGTCTGGTTCTTCGTAGGGAGTGGGGTCGCTTTAAGGGTTCCTTCAACGGGTTCCTTTAAAGGGTTCCTATAAGGGTTTAGGGTTGCTGTAAAGGTTCCTTTAAAGGGTCCTATAAGGGTTCTATAAGGGTTTAGGGTTGCTTTAAGGGCTTCAAAGGGTCCTATAAGGGTCTACGACAGGGGTACGGTCTTAGGGTATCTATCGCCCCGGTCTGGTTCTTAGTAGAGCATGGGGGAATGGGTTGTGGGGTCTACTATTGGGGATGATATAGGGACTACTATAAGGATCTATTCCACCCATTCCCTACTACCAGGGAGTTTAGGGTCCAGGGAGACTTTAATGGATACAAATAACAAAAAAACCTGGCAACAAGACCAGTAGAATAATAAAGACAACTACAAGCATCTGACAGCATCAGTGTTAGAAAGAAGAAGAAGGCCAGTAGCAGCAGTTCTGACCGCGACAACTAGACCAGGTTGTATTTGGGCTTTGTTCTACGATTTTTTGATGCCTTACTATGATGACAAGAAACTGTTTCTGGGTACATCATCGGATATTGTTGTTTGGGGGTTCAGGATTTTGATGTTTAGGGTTGTGTCTGTGAGTCTCATTACTGCAACACCTTGGGTCAGGCACCGCACGAAAAATATTGAGGGGCGACCACTCGTTACCAGAATTCCTTCTGGTCGCTGTTCGTGGGTGGGGGCCTTGCCTAATGTAAATCCCTGATCGACAAGCCGCCGACCTTAAAACGAGATTAGCACAGGGACCCTAGTAGTAAGACCCTTAAAGACAGATACGGTTGATGGTACAAATCCTGCATTACCCAAAATGAGGAATATAGCACCATTCCCATAGTTTAGGGTCATGAAGGTAATGCAGGGTTTATATCATCAACGGTAGGAAAAGCTGGTTCTGTTGCTTGGAGAGCCCGAGGATGTCTCGGGCCATGGATTCTGCAAAGTCTAGGGCAAAAAAATAAGGTACCCCCTAATTTTCGGAAACTCCTTATGCTATAATATATTACACTATACTATTAATATACTACAATGTATTACAATATACCCTAAACCTCCAACCCCAAACCTCAAACCCCAATCCCTGAACCCTTCCGCCGTTAGGTTTCTGGGCACTAGGTCGACAGGGCTCAGTTTGTATAGAGGGCTGAGCAGTTCGTAATACAAACACGGCGGGATCCATCAGTATTGGTATGCCCTGACGTTTGCTTCCCATTTTCATCACATCACTTACGAAGCCTCCCAACATGATCCTGCTTCTCCTGCCGGTGGCCCATCTTTCGCGTTTAGAGGCCCTAGAAGCTAAACAACCTGCCCAGGAAGCCTTCATATGCTTCCATTTGTCGGGCTCTGACGTGCCAAAAAGAAGCCCAAAGCAGGCGACCGAAGGTCCCTCCCTCGATGATGGGGCGCTGAGAAGGCTCGAGGCGGAAGAGGCAGGTTGGCGGGACGGGTTGGGGGGGGGATGTTGGGGGACAGGAGGGGTTTGGGGGGTTCATGTAGCGTTGAGGGGTTAGGGTTTTGGGTTCGGGTTTCAGATTAAGGGGTGGGGTTTAGGGGTGAGAGGGGGTAAGGGCTGGGCCGAAGCTTGAGATGTTGCGGGAAAGGGTTTAGGCGACCCCACGCTAAACCTACAGACAAAGCCCCGAAAGTCCAACAGCCCGAACACCCTAAGCCCCCAAACTCAAGCCCACAAACATCATGAAGCTCTACGCCCTAGATACTCTACTCTCAGTAGCTGAGCAGCTATCTTCTGAGTATGTGAGGTGTATATATATATATATATATATATATATTACACGTATATGTACTTATATTCCGCCATTGTCCAGAATGTTCGGCTTGTTTGTTCCAAGGAACCCAACAACTGGTACTAACGCACTCAAAACCAAAATTACCGTCAACATCTTTTCACGGGTTTCCTCGTGACGATTAGGAGTAAACCATAAAACCCAATTCTAACGATTAGCATCCAAAGTTAGCACAAGCCAGGTTGGTGAGGTGTTGCTTAGACTGGCTTAGATAAGATGACATCCCAGAGCCTTAAATCCTAAACTCTGAAACCCTCAGCCCTGAATCCTATCCCATGGACCCTAAGCTGCCCCCCAAAACCCTGAACCCTTAAACCCCTAAACCGCTAACCCTAAACCCCTAAACCCGTAAACCGGTAAACCCTAAACCGTTAAACCCCTAAACCCCTAAATCCCTAAACCCTAAACCCTTAACCCCGGGCTGAGGTGTTTCTTGTGCAGTCGATTCGGGCTGGGCTGTCGCGGGGAAGCGCCGGAGGTGCAGAAGGGCCAGGTGCCCCTGCTTTTGGGTTCAGGGTTTAGGGGTTTAGGGTTTAGGGTTCAGGGTGGGGGGGGTTCAGGGCGTACCCTAAACCCGAAGCGCAAAACCCTATCTACATCCACGTAACATGACAGTGTAGGGGTTGTGGTTTTCTGTGTTAGAATGGCTTACGGCTTTGGAAGTGGGGGTTTGGGGATTTCTCTTGCAGGGCTTTAAAATTAGATTAGATAGGATTTCAGGGTCAGGGCGCTACTACTTCTCATTCTACTTCTTGTATTTCTATGACTTACTACTACGACGGCCACGACGACTACTAATCCTATTCCGGCTGCTACTACTACTACTACTACTACCACCACCACCACAACTACTGCCACTGTCAGTACCACTACCACTACCATTGCGACCTGCGACGACGGCGACCACTGCGAGTCTTGAGTCTTAATGACATCCTGAAAAAAATCTGCACGTTCGTGGTCGCAATAGCTGCGCATGAACTTTGACGGAAAGCGGGAGGGCTTACACCAACAGAACGGCAGTATGTATGTTCAAAGTCTGCAGCATCACCAGCAGCAAGCTCCAGCACTCGCACTAGCACTAGCTCTATCGCACCTAACCAAGCATCCCTTTGCATCATTGCGGCCTTCGCCACGCTGCTCATCACCATTATAGTCACCGTCACCTTCGCCACTACCATCATCATCATCATCACCATCATCATCATTGTCATCATAACCATGATCATCAGCGGGCATCATCATCTTCGTCATCGTCGTAATCGTCACGATCATCACCATCCTCACCATCGGCTCCATCATGAGTTGTTGACTAGCGTTGCCCATGTACTTGATGCCAGCGCCTTGCTTTCTCCTTGCTTGCCTCTCTCTCTCTCTATCTCTCTAGGTGCCTGGTGGGAGCAGCTGGAGCCCTGGCCCGCGCCTGCGCGGCACTTGGGTTCCGAGTTCCCTCGGAGACTGGAGGAGCTGAAGCAACGGTGCTTGGCCGAGCCGTGCCCGCCGTCCTTGCCAGGTCCCGGGTGTTTCGGAGGCACGGTCCCACTGGAGCCGGTGACTCTGGCACAGCCGCGTCCCATCCAACAGCAAATGGCGGTGGCTGCTGCTGTTCTTCCAGAGCCAGCAATCCCTTGCTACTGCCAGGTTGGGAGCCCCAACCCGCCGGAAGCTTTGCGAGAAAACCCGGACAGGGAAGAGATGCTGATGGAGCTGAAGGATCTGAAGGCTCTGGTTCAAGGCAAAGAGGAGCTGAAGTCGGAACATGCCCAGAAGATCCTTCTTGCTCAAGAGAGATTGGCTCAAGAGCAGGAGGAGCTCCTCCGGGGGCAGAGCAGATGTAAGGAACTGGAAGTGGAGATGGTGCTCCAGAGGAAGGACCTGCAAATGTCGCAGGAGTGGCAAACCTGGCAGCAGCAGAAGCATTCCTGTGATCTTCAACATCAGGCTGAGGTGCTTCAGCTGAGATACGAGGCCAACCTGCTGAGTGAGCAGGAGACCTGGCAGCAGATGGAAAGCTCTTCCCAGAGCCTGCAAAGGCAACAGGCCGAGCGAGCACGAGAGTGGGAGATGCGGGATCTGGCGGCTTCAGTGGAGACAGAGCGGTTTTTGGCCACGGAGCTGCGGGCGCAGTCGCGGATTTCGGAGACTTCGAAGTTGCGGCTGCTGCAGGAGCTGAGCGCTCGCCTGGCAGGTCGGGAGCTCGAGATCCTGGCCCTAGAAAGCTCCGAGGACGCCCTGGAGAAGGCGAAAGGCCAGGCCCAGGCATTGCAGGCGCGGCTCTCCACGGAGGAGGCGCAGCTGCAGGAGGCCCGGAGCCAGCTGGAGCAAACCGCCGCCGACGCGGCGAGCGCGGCGAGCGCGGCGAGCGCGGAGCGCGTGGCGGAGGCCCGGGCGGAGGCGGAGACCTCGAAGGCGGAGGCGCGGCTCCAGGCGGCGGAGGCGCAGCTCCAGACGGAGCTCCGTGCAACCACGGCATCCGCGGAGGCCCTCTGCCACGCCCAGGAGCAACTTCAGCAGGCGCAAGATGCGCAGAGAGCGTCGCAGGAGGCCACCGCCGAGGCTGCAGCGGAAGGTCGGGCGCGGGAGCTTGCGCTGGAGCAGCGGCTGGAAGACTTGCAGATGCAGCTGGAGGAGCTCAGGGCGGCGCAGGCTCAGGCACCAAAACCGGCTGTGTCCTCTGTGCCTGCGGTTTCCAGCTCCGACTATGTTGCCACGGCCGACTTGGACTTGCTGGACCAGGCACTGGAGGCGGAAATCCGGTCTTTGGGCCCCGGGTGTTTGCAAGGCCACGTTCTGACGAGGACCGGGCCAAAGATTTACAAGCTGGGGGCGGACCGGGTGAGGATGCAGCTGTCTGACTCCGTCATCACGGTTCGCGTGGGCACCAGCTGGGTGCCCCTTGCACGATGGGTTCGAGAGCTTCCGGCGCCGGGTGAGCAGGCTCCCGAGGACCAGTTCCAAGCCCTGGACGCCTCCTCGCCCTTCGCTGGGGTGTGAGAAAGATCGGCCCAAGCACAAAGCCTGCAAAACTCTGGGAGATGTGGCACTCGAAGCCCTCCGCAGCCGAGGTACCCACTGCCCCAGCCCACGCGGAAGGAGGAGACCCGGCGTTTGGGGGTATGCAAGGTTCAGAGTTTCAGGCATCTTAAGGGCTAGGAATTGTCAGGGCTTTATGCTGGGTCGAGTTCTTAGTCCCGCGATTTTGGGTGACAGTCCTGACGGGCCCAAGTACCCTAAACCTGAAACCCTAAACCCTAAACCCTAGACCCGCTCAAAGCTGTTTGGGGGGTGGGGTTGAGAGCTGAGGGCTTATGGTTTGGTCTAGGGTTCAGGGCCACACTGACAGCCCGAACCACGAAAGCCACAGCGCCCTCAAACGCCGGAACCTAAACTCCAAGTTAGAGAGCCCGCAAGGCCAAAGCCAACATACCATCGGAATCGGAAAAGGGCAGAGGGTTATAACTTGTATTCTCGGATAGTCCCTAATATAAGTATATCATACCGTACCCGAAAACCAATCTCATTCACCCGAAAGGCCCTCCTCCAATTTTTCAGGAGTCCTTGCAGCAGCTTGCTAGCCAGCACCGAGCTTAGTTTTCTGCCTGCGACTTCCTGATTCCATGGGTTGTCCTTAGGGCATTGCCTACATGCGCGTGTAAGTAGGGATGTATGCAAACATTATACAGCTAAAATAGAAAACGACATGACATGAACGAATGATCGCAAATTATGAACGAGCAGACGAACGAATGAACCATTCAATGCCTGAATGACTGAATGAATGAAGGAATGGAGTGGAATGGTATGGCATGGAATGGAATTGAATGGAATGAACGAACGAATGAAGAGATGAATGAAGGGATGAATGAATGACTGTATGACTGACTGACGGACTGAATGAATGAATGAGCGAAACGACATTGAATGACATGAATGAACGAAATGAATGGGCGAATAGATGAATGACTGGGTGGATGGATGAATGAATGAGAATGAAGTGAATTAGGACAATTAGGAGGAATGGAGGGGCATGAAGGGATGAATGGGCACATGATGAACGGTTGAGTGGATGAAGCCCAATCCTTGAAGCCCACCAAACTTTCATTGCGAGTCTGCAGCTCACAGCATTCCCAGGCCGCCGAAACCGGAAGCGGTCTCGGCACAGGTCGAACGAGCCGCAGTTGGGCTTGGGGTTAGGGCCCTTGATAGTATCAGGGAGACCCCTTAACGGGCGTCCTTCTGAACCCTACCTCTGGCTCTCCTACGAAGGAACTTATTGAGAGGGTCTATATATCTCCAAGGCTCCCGCCCAAATCCTAACTCCTCTACGCTCGGCGGTGGTTTGTCATAGGAGGCCGAAAGGGGTTTTAGCCTATGGGGGTTTAGTAGGGATTAGGGTTCGGAATCCCCACCCCAAGAATCTCAAACCCCCCTTTTGGCCTCCGATCATTTTGGGGGGTAGGCTCAGGGTCTCTGGGGTTGAGGGCTTACACCGCTTGGGGCTTCGTGGGTTAGGGAGACAGGATCGAGAGTTGGAGGGTTTGTGAACTTTGGAGGTGTCAGCCTCATTGAGGGTATGAACAAAAATGGCCTAGGAGTGCGGGTTTAGGCTTCGGAGCACGTGCAAGTGACACATAAGGGTCTCGAAGAGCAGATGTCTAGTTCAGTTGTTCCCAGCTCCCACTGGGCATCATTCTGAGGAGGCCTGTGATTTTCCTTCGTGCTCACCACAGGTTTCTTGCCGTCCAACGCTTTCATGGAGATGTCCCCTTGATTGGGGGGGCAGGCACGCAAACCACGTGAAACCAGGCACGCATCAGGGCACATGTCCGGGGCGGTGTTGCGCGAAAGGACCATAACCACAGCCCAGACCTCACGCCCTCATTCATCAATCTTACACCCTAAGCACTAAGCCCTCGTGCCCAAAACGAAGGCTCAAACAAACGCAAAAAGCGTCGTGCCCTGACTCCGACGATGATCAGGTCAAGGTGCCGCCGATCCAGCCCCCTACGCCAGACAAGCCTTTCTACAACAGCGAAGGCATGAGAGGGTTTTAGGGTTTAGGGTTGAGGGCGCTTTTCAGGAAGCCTGACTAAAAAATAAAAATATTGAAAAGCTGCAAAATCACCATCAAGTCTCAAACCCTGAACCCTCACATGCTCATAAAGGAACCCCCTTCTAGAACCCTGGTAGAACCCATACAGAAATCTTGCGGAGCCTTTCTCTAAATCCTCAGCCCTAAACCCTCATTCCTCAACTTCTACGTGGGCAGGGGTCGATCTGATGAAGCTCAGCAATGAGGAGTTGGAGAAATATGCTCCTTGGACTTTGTCATAGTTCGGTAACATTTTTACATTTTTTATATTTTTACCTGCACTTAAGCCCAAGAAGGCAGAGAAATTATAATGTTTTAATACTATCCCAACCCGGGACCAGTAGACTTCGATCCCAGGGACAGCATTTTGCTAGGTGTTCATGGATGTTTCGATGTTTTTGCGAGCGCTTTGAGACGGGTCTCCGAAAGGATCTCCTGTCGGGGTTTCTTATAAGGGTCTCTGACCGAAGTCGGTGGGAAGTGTCGGGTGACTGAAAGCTGGGAGGTTGAAGGCAAAGCCACTGCCTAGGTTTAGGGTTTCCAACCACCTCTTCATCCCTGGCCCGTTGCCTCCTTAAACTTCTAAACCCTTGATCCCTAGACCGTTTAAGCAGTTTAAGCCCCCACTCCAAAATCTCAAAAATAGCTCTTTTGTTTCTTTCTATCTGTCTCTCTCTCTCTCTCTCTCTCTCTACATATATATATATATACACATATCGATCCAAGCACCCGAACTCTCAGACGCCACCTGTAAGCTCTAAATCGTAAGCCGCGAATCCCTAAATCCTGAGCCGCCGAAGCCTAAATCCCAAAGCTTCGAGCCTAAATCCTCAAGCCACAGACCCCTGAACCCTAAACTCGTAAACTGCTGAAGCTCCGAACTCCAAATCCCAAGCCGCCCTTTTACGGCGCGCAAATCCGAGAATCCGCCTGCCTCCCATAAGGTTCCAATGGATGAGAACGGCCGTCGGAGCGACGGTTTCAGTTTTGCTGGGGGGTTCCTTCTCAGCCTCCTTCAAGCCTCAGCCCAGAAGGTGAGCCCTAAACCCTCAACCCTAAACCCTAGCCAAACCCTCATCAGATTGGGGCTTAGGGTCCATGGTGGAGTTTTTGCAATTTGCAAGGAACCTGTGACTGTGCCCAGCATCCCACATCCCGGATGCTCTCTCTTCAGGGCGGCATGCTTCTGTAAGGAGGACCCTTAATGGGGACCCCTACCTTATAATGGGCTATATACTAATATAATGGGTATATACTAGCTATATTCAGGATACATACCGAGGGGAGGCCGAGAGCTGAATCGGAGTCGCAGCTTCCCTTCGCTGCAGGACTTCCATCGGCGCGATCAATCATCCAACTGAGTGTTCTCCCTGCATTTTTTGGCTCTTCGGCAGCAGCCTAAATCCGAAAGCCTCAAAACCTAAGCCCTAAACCTAAACATTGAGCTTGCAGGAAGCATAACTGCAAAACACCGTTTTGTTACCAAGGCTTCGCAAAAGTTACCAAAAAGCTGCTAGTTGCCTCAGTACGTAGTATAGGTTTGTCTGGTACGTAACACTATCATTGGCTGGGGGACTCAAAAAACATAGTACGTAACAGTTTTGCGGTTATTCCGATGTCTAAAGTCTAAAGTATGTGGCAACACATGTCAGAAACGAGTCCCTGCTCACAAGATGCAAGGGATCCTATTTTAGTTGTGCCGTTGGGATGGGTTCCTTGGACTCCTCCATGGGCTTAACAGCATCTTGTGTACTAACGTTCTTCAGAGGCTTCAACAGGGTTAATCCAAGAGTCGCCCCTTCCTTCTTTTCCTCCCTAACCCAGTTTGTCTCTGGGTTCTAGTATTCCCAGTCCCCAGTCTTCTGTTTAGCAAGATAAAATGGGGGCCTTATATATATATATATATATATATAATAATAATAACAATAGTAAGAATAATAATAAAAATAAAAATAAAACAATAATAATAATAATAATAAGAAGAAGAATAAGAAGAAGAAGAAGAATAATAATAATAATAACAATAATAAGAATAATAATAAAAATAAAAATAAAACAATAATAATAATAATAATAAGAAGAAGAATAAGAAGAAGAAGAAGAAGAATAATAATAATAATGATAATAATAGTAATAATCATAATCATAATCATAATCATAATCATAATCATAATCATAATCATAATCATAATCATATTAATAATAATAATAAAATAATAATAATGATAATAATAATAATAATATTAATACTCATCATAATCATAATAATAATAATAATTATTATTATAAGAATAATAATAATAATAATAATGATAATAATAATAGTTTTGGGTTCCTTACTGTAGTTATAGTATAATATGCCTTTTAATTAGACCCTGAGACAAGGTTCCGCCACGTCTGCGAGAAGGGCTTGCGGTGCGAGTTTTGCCACATCAAGCATCCCGGGCAGGTCGGGACGCTGATAGTCTCTGGCTCGCGTTGTGATGATGACGGTCGTACAAAGTTTAGGGAAGCTTCGCGAGGCGGAGCTCTGAGGATGTGGGTTTTAATGGAATGTACGGTTTAGACCGTGGAGACTCTAGAGTGTGGATTTTTAGCTTAGATGTTTCGGGCTTCTGGGCTTAGGAAGAATCAAACACTGATGATGTGGATGAGGCGGAGAATCAGGATGTTTTGGGCGTCAAGTCGTCGCAGTGTAGGACAACGCCCCAAACAACACTACCTACGCCCTAAACCCCGGATTCCCAGGGTCCTCGGGCTTGGGGGCCTGAACCCAAGCTCTCAACTCCAAACCCCAGATGCCCCATATGGGAGCCAGTACAAGAACAAGATGTATTCTAGGGCAGTGCAAGGCATATGCACGTGGGACATTACAAGAGATTTTTCGTAGGGGGATCGTCTCAGGCCCTAGCACAATAGGGGTTGTTGTTGTGCCGGTAAGCCGTAAACCCTACACCCTAAACCCCTAAACCCTAAATCCCTAAACCCGCCGACCGTAACTGCTAGGAGGAAAATGGGTTCAAAACAAGAACCTAAACCCTAAACCCATGAACCCCAAACCCCTAAGCCCTAAGCACTTAAACCATAGGGACATCACAGGGGTTACTTTTTGTCAGGTGGCCAAGAAGATCAGGCCGTCGAAATCCTTCCGCATGAAGCTCAAGGCTCTCGGGCGGGTTCTACAGGTGTAGTACCCTTATTGATCCCTTTATTGTAGCCCTTATGAGTCCCCTTTAAAGGACCCCTAGGGCCCTCATTTAAGTCTTCTACTGAGGGCTTCGGCAGAGTTTTGTAGGGGCTTGACAGGGTTTAAAGGGAAGACATGTTGCAAGCTCCTCTTGCAACGTATTTTTGGCAGACTGTAGGGCTCCACCAGAGAACCAACCGAGGCTTAAGGGCTTAGGGAGAAAATAGCAGGCAGTTCAGATTTTGCAGTGCTAAAGTTTCTTCTTTGTGATTCAGGGGGCCTTTGGGAATCAGGGTTGGGGATGTTAGAGGGTTTGAGGCTGGTTTGAGAGTTTAGGGTTTGGAAGAGCCAATCTCAGTCAAGATAGAAGTATCTTTGCCGACTCATGTAACTACATACCTGTGTTTGTATCTATTACCTTGTCTCACCAACGACCATACACACATTTCGGGGCCAGGGCGAACACATATACATATATATATATATATATATATACGCATATGAGTATACGACACATACATATATGTATGTGTGTGCATGTGTCTATATATAGGTACGTACATGTAGACATACATATATATATATATATATACATATGGGCTGCGTAGTATCCCCGCCCTGTACTTCTGCACTGCTGTACTATTGTGGAACCAGCAGCTGGTTTTGAATCCCACCGAAAGCTTAAACCCTTGACATCCTTGAATCTGGAGCGAAGAATAAAAGCATTCGCGCATTCACATGTTTTTCAGTCCAACTCGAATCCAACACAAAATATGCAGCATCTGATCATGGATGTTCACCCCCTGTTCGTTCCAGTGCGTACCATCCCCCTAGGATTTCGTTGCGTTCTTCACCAGCTCTGCAAAAGTAGTTTGGAGACTAACCCGGGAAGTTGCAACAACCCGTGCGTTCAAAATGCAGACCAGCTGAAACCCGAACAATGTTAAAAATTCTATGACAACCTCGTCGAATCCCTGTTACAATGTGCAAAAATACTTGCCTTCAAGCCGTCGATGCCTTTTCGTAGTTCATCTTTGTGTGACTCTGTCTAAACCGCTGTATTTCCAATCTGTTCAACACATGCGCTTTAGTCATTAGTCTGGTTCAGTCATGCTTTATGGCGAACGAGATTTGGAGCCAAAAGTTTTCCATGTTTGTACTGTAATGCTGCAATCCCACTAAAGTCTCTGTTTCTGGAAGCATTGCTATGTTGTTTTGGCTGCATATAGCTTTCAATAGCATATCCCTGTGCGCCTATGTGATTGCTTTTAAACGCTGGTATGTCCAGTATATTTGGGTGTTGCATTCCAATTCTGTACAATGACTGCCCCAGACCCCAAATTGAAAGCTTGCATACTACAAGTTTAACCAAAGTTGCATAGTGCTTTACCTGGGGACAACACGAAGTGTCATTTGCACTGTTTCTATATGCCGAGTGATGAAACCTTTTCTTTTAGTATCAGCATACCTTAACCATCACATGGAGCCGACTGAAAACCATAAGGCCCCATCTAGCCTTTCCGAATTCATGTTTAGCTGTAAACTGCAAAATACTGTCTCCCCTTACAATGACGTCTTATCAGTCGCATTTCAACTTTCTCTGTACCTTGATACTCCAACAAGGACAACACTTACTGATCTGACAGAAGCCACGGCATTTTGATTCCTGGGTGAGTGACATCTACGCGGTTACTCGCTAAGTATGTATATAGAACGGCTTTTTTCTTATAAGCCCGTTGTACTGGCACGGACAGACCATTATAAAAAATCCGCTGTATGGCCTTTCTGATAAAGTCGCGGGAATATGCATATGGTGCCGGGAATGATGTTTGTTACAAGGCACTGCATCATGCCTCAAAAACTTGAACAAGTGCCGAATACCTCGCACCATCTATTCTTCCATTCCTTGCCGAACTTCATTGCGGTTAGATTCATCCTAAAACACCGAAACTCTCGAACGTTTGGATTTAGATGTTGATGAAGTAGCGATGAAACAGATTTGCTTCGTAAGGTTTACTGTGTAGCGGGGCAATGAAGGCAGCCCCGAGTTTGCAAACCACAACCCTGGTTTACAAGACCCCCAGTCCGGTGTTTCGATATGGTGTACCAATATTGCAGGCCGGATCCGAAGCCAATTATTGACCAACAGACAATCTTAAACAGTTCACTGGTACGCAAACCACCCCTCACTTTTCCAATATACTTTTTCACCATAAACGTGTTGGGTTTGATTTTTGCTGCTTAGGGTTTGGCGCTTGGGTTTGGGGGAGACTTGAATAGACCATTAAACCCTCGCTTGGGCTATAAAGCACGGAAGACTCAAACCATCAAACCAATAATCCAGTCCATTTGGTCTATGGGGCACGGTCTTCAAACTCTGAACGTATTCTGTGGCCTGGTTATAATTTTATAACCAGGACTGCCGGGTCGTGGGCAGTCCTTAGACCCACCACCGTCCACCACTAAACCATTAAACCAATCCATTTGGCCTATAGGGCACGGGAGACCCAAACCATTAAACCATTACACCAATCCATTTGGCCTGTAAGGAACCGGAGGCCTAAACCAATAAACCAATAAAGCAATCCTTTTGGCCTATGTATTGGTATGTTAGGCTCATTGGGGGCAATGATAGTTTTAATGGTTTCATGTTTTAATGGTTTAGTGGTTTAGGGATGGGTCTAGGTTCATGAGGGGAATGCACTGTTTTAGCGGTTGGATGGTTTATTGGTTTAGTGGTATGGGGCAAATTTTTTGGTTTAGTGGTTTAATGGTTTCGTGGTTTGGGGCAAAGAGTGTAGTTTAATGGTTTATTGGTTTAGCGGTATAGGGCAAAAGGATTGGTTTATTAATGGTTTATTGGTTTGGTGGTTTAGGCGCCCTGTTGGTTACAACCAGACAGAAAGGTTATTAGCACGTACAGAAGAGAAAGTTATGAATTTAGTGTTTCCAAGCTCAGCCGACAGAAAATGCAGGGGGGGGGGGGTGGGTATATAGCATTACCCATTTGTGTATATATAAATATAAATATATAAATAAATAACTATATATATATATATATATACACATATTTATGTATATATATATATACACATATATATATATATATATATATATATATATATATATATACATACATACCTACATACATACGCGCACGCACACACACACACACACATTGCACTTTGCATGCACATACTACCATGTTTATCGTTCACAGAACAAGGCTTTCTGCAACATCCGCCTTTCAGTGTCCATTTTGTGGACATTACAAAGTGTTGTGCCTGTTTGGCTAGGCGTTGGTGCGTCTCGGATATCCGCGAGCCTTATCACATGTGGTTATGTTTTCATCTACAGGGTAAAGCATCACTTGTTACTGTTTGTTGTTAGTACTATTACTATTCTTATTATTACTCCTGTTTGTTGTTATTTCTTATCGTTCATTGACACAATACAAGACCTGGGCATGCTGCTGAATGATGTCCAAAACGTTTGGTGTTTTCGCAGTTTGAACCACATTCTGCAGTTTGGAGTGCCTGGGACACGTCTTGTCGAGTCAAGAGATGCATACGGTCAGCTCGGAAAGTGGCTGCAGACGACACACTTTGGAGCACGGCCGGAGAGGCTGCGACACAGCTCATGGCGAGCCTATTGTGAGTTTCTTCGCAGACTCAACGGTTCGAGTTGCACAATCGTTATACAAGATCGCTCCAATAACCTGTAGGGACGTCATAGCCATTCATTAGAAGCTGCCCCCACCCTGTCATAGTGACTATAAGGATTATATTAGGGCCGTATTATATTCCTCATACACCACTATTACAGGCTGGGGGCCCCTTCTAAGCCATTCATTTTACTACCTTCACAGGTAGGTAGCTGGGCGTGCTTCAGACGCCGCCGGCACCATTGGGGACCGTCACATCCGGCAGCCTTTCCATAACCCTTTAAGACTCCAGCCACAGTAAACTAGATCCCAAGGCCATTACTTCAAAAAGTATTCAGACCCCTAAATGAATTCGCGGTCATGGGATGTGACTTTGTCCTTAATTAGCCTTCTTCCGGCTTCCCAGGCCTCAAGCAGTTCTCGAACGCTCTAGGCTTCAGAGTTGGAGATCTCCCAAGCCCGCACTAACACTAACGCCATGAAGCCCCAGCAAAAAAACAACCCTAAACCCGAGAGCTATGAAGCCCTAGACCCTGAACCTTTGAGCTCTTTGCCGCAGGAGCAGGAGCAAGCGGGGCAGTATGTTGCCGATTCTCCGCCATGATGTGGGCAAGGCTACAAGATTCGGCCCGGGCCCGCAGAAGGTGGGATGACTGTAGGTTTATATCCTATTTTGATTCTATTTTTTTTGGTATTTATTGACTTTTAACTTACT